GGGCGGGCGCGGGCGGGCGGCGCTGCGGGGCCCCGCGGCCGCGGGCTCCAATGGCGAGGCCGGCGCGGCCCCCGCTAATTACATAAGCGGGACGTCAATAATTCGCGGGAAAACGCGAAAAAGATGGCGCCCCGCGCCCGGGGGGCCCCTTCCTGAGCGCCCCGGCCCCTCCCTCCCCCGCCTCCCCCCCTCCTCCCCGCGGCGCCCCCGCCCCGCCCCGCCCCCGCCGAGACCCCGACCCCGGCCCCACGGGCGGACACTCGGCCGGGCAGCCGCGGGCCGCGCGCAGCCGCCTCCGCCGCCGATGCGCCTGGTGGCCAGACTCCAAGTGGGACCGGCCGACACGCAGGCTCGCGGTAAGCTCAGCGGGGACTCCCCGCCGCACGCTTCGCTCCCGACACACATCCGTCTTTGCGAAATCTCCCCGGACTTCGGCGAACCGGGCGCCTCGGGGGCGGCGGGTGGGTGGGTGGTCGGGGTCCCGGGGAGCTGCGCGCCTGAGGCTGGAACGCGGGTGAGCGGCGTCTGCGGGGCGTGGGAGCCTCACCCGGGTCCCCGAGCCTTGGGGGGGGCGTGGGTGACAGGTCGCTGCTCCCTGGCCCCAAATCTTGACTTTTCCCGTTCGGGGGCGGGGGGGTGGTGGCGGGGGTGGAGACCGACTGGGGCATTTGGGATTTTGCTCACGTCCGAAGTCAGGCTGCGGCAGGACTGGGACGGGGGGGGGATGCGGGGGGGGCCTTGGGGGCGGGGCCACAGAAAAGAGGGGCGCTTGAACCCGCTGGGGGTACCTCTGCAAGTTTTTTTTTTTTTCCCCTCCCTAACACCCTTTTTTAAAAAGCCAACGGCCGCCCTGGGAGAGGCCCCGGCGCATGAATCATCCTCGCTTCCTGCCCCCGCCCGGCCCCGCGCTCCGGGTGCCGCGGATTTGAACTGGACGCCGACGGGAACCCGCAAACAGGCATTTCTTTGCAGATGGGTTTGAATCAGCCAATCACAGCCCGCGGGGGCCCGCTCCGGGAGGATGGAGGCGCGGGGAGGGGGCCGCCACCCGGGGGCCCCCGCCCGGCCAGTGGGGGCGCGGCGATCGGGCCGGCTCCCAACGGCGCGGCAGGGGGAGGAAGTGTCAGTTTGTGAACCTGCCGCGGCCCGGGGCCCAGGCCCGGCGGGCGGGGACTTCGCAGCGCCCGGGAGCCAGGTGGCAGGGAGAAGGCTGGGATTCGGAGCGCATACCCTGCCCCAAGCCTGCGCTGCTCTGCCGTCCAGAAAAGGGCAGAATGGGGGCGTGGGGTGGAGGGGAACGTGGCCCCAGTGTCGTCTGGGGAGCCAAGACCCCAAACAGTGCCCTGCCTGCCCCAGGGCCCCTGAACAGGCACACACATGTATTTAATTTCAAATACCCATTGACACACTGCCGCAGACATCACGAAACACAATCTCACAAAGGTACATGCGCGCTGACACAGCAAAACACGCGGGACTCTCTCCCTGCCTACACCAGGTGCCCCGTGCCATGGCAGAGAAGGAGGGGACCAGAGTAGGGGGTGCAGCACCCGGCGCAAGTGAGCACGGGGCTCGGGGAACAGTTATTGAATGAATGAGTGGCCCAAGCAAAAGAGAGGCCTGAACTCAGACCAGGGCAGCGACATGGAAAAGAAGGGCCAGATGCCGGAAATCCACTGGGCTTGAAGTTGGCCAACTGTGGCAACTCACTGGTTGGAGAAGTCTAAAGATGACCAGGGGTTCTGGGGACCATTAGTGGTCCCATTAGCGGGAAGAAGAGAGCAGTAGGGCGGTAGCATGTTTTATAGGACGGTGAGAGAGACAGGTGCCGAGAGGGTGGCTTGTGTTGACTTACCTGCTTGCAGCACATTCACATCTGAGTGGAAGCAGAGAGTGAGTTTAAATGTCCCAGAAATGTGGTTTCCATTAAATCACCCCATAATTGAGAGCAGAAAGGGGGATTATGGAAGACATAGGTGGACCATCTATACCTGGTTGCAAACCACCTAGGAGTTTTCCTTCCTAGGTGAGTTTCCTCTGGCCAGATCTCAGGGCAGGGGTTGGGTGGGGGGAGGAGGGGATTAGCAAGGACTTCCCCGCTGCTCCCCTGGAGAAGACCCTCTACTCAGAGAACATGTTTGCTTAAGGGATAAAGCTTCAGGCTCCTAAGCTTGGGAGTTCAGGCCTCTTGGGCAGGGAGACTGCTCTGTGGTTGGTTGAGAGATTCGTTCTCTTTAGAAGGCAGCATGGTATGGGTGGGAAGAGAGGCAGGATTAGAGTTAGCCTACTTGATTATGAGCCTTGCCTTGGCCTCCGCCCCACTGGCCACTTTCCCTTGCCAAACCTCAGTTTCTCTGTCCATAGAATGGGAATAATAATGTCTCCCTCGCAGGGTTGTCACAAGGATCCCATGAGATAATCGAAGTGCCTGGCCCATAGTACCATAGGTTGTGTAAGTGGTAGTCTCCTTCCTTTCCCAGATGGACTGCTGGAGCAGGGGAGCGAGGAGTAAAAACCCTCTTCTCTTTCTCTTCCAGTGTCAGGGGAAGCTGATGGAGAATCGCGCTCTGGATCCAGGGACTCGGGACTCCTATGGTGCCACCAGCCACCTCCCCAACAAGGGGGCCCTGGCAAAAGCCAAGAACAACTTCAAAGACCTGATGTCCAAGCTGACGGAGGGCCAGTATGTGCTGTGCCGCTGGACCGATGGACTGTATTACCTCGGGAAGATCAAGAGGGTAAACCTTTCCTCCCTGGCCCTAGTTCCCAGGTGTAGCCTCTGGCCTGGGCCTCCCTTCATGCCCCTCCTGCTCAAAAGATGACCGTGGAAGGAACCAGAACCTGCTTTTGCAGGTGCCATCCTTAGGGCCAATACCATCCAACCAGGTCTTTAGAATAGAGCTCTGCGAGCCTACAGAACAAAACAAAATCAGGCTGGAGGTTATTTCAGAGGACCACCTGGCCTGTTCTGTCCTCCACATTCCCACCAAGTTGTGGTCCCCTGGCCCCGGACTGTGGCCCCAGGAACTGGGCGCACGTTACCTCCGGAACTGCTGTCGTCCTTCCCCTTCCAGCCTAGCTCTGCCTTCCGGGCCACAAGGAGCGGGTATAATCCCTCTGTCCTGTGGGGACAAAAATAGGAGAGGAAGACCATGTCCCAGTGGCTTTTCCCCAGCCACTTTCTCACGTTGCCCCTCCCTCTCCGTGCCCCAGGTCAGCAGTTCTAAGCAGAGCTGCCTTGTGACTTTTGAAGATAATTCCAAATACTGGGTCCTGTGGAAGGACATACAACATGGTGAGTACTCCTGAGAGCTCGGGGCTCCCCCGCCCCATCCCTGGCCCTCTCTCCTCCTCCACTTCCATGCTTTTTCCTCCTCTCCTTCTCTCTTGTACTCTTGGCATCTGGTCTCGTCCAATGAACCCCGTCCCCCCACAAGCCCACTTGAGGGGATAAGATGACTAGTTGTGCGTTTACATGGAAAGGCACTCCTGAAATCCGCCATGCCCTTGATCACTCCCACGTCATGAGGGAGGCAGTCAGGTGGAGAAAGTGGCTTGGGAAGGTGCTGGGAGAGCTGGGATGGCATGTCATCCCCTGCTGCACAAAGCTGAGGATCAGTCTGGGGCTAGGAACGGGGCTGGAGGGGAGGGGCCCAGGCAATCAAAACTGGCGCCTCTAGACGTGAGCACAGTGTACCCTATCCATGTGTGAAGAAAACTAGTGGAGGCAGCCCTAGCCTTGGTGGGAAAGCCAAGAAAGCAGAGACAGACCAGGCAGGGTGAAGATGGACATGCCTGGACGGAACTTCCCTTTCGAAGCCGGGTTGAGGGCCATCCCTGCACGCAGAGAGCTGACATTTCCCCACTCTGGCCACCATTCTCCCCTCCCACAGACGCGACAGACACCACTCAGCAGTCCCAGCATGCATACATTTCCAACATGGAGCTCCAAGTTTAGGTTCAGTAGATCTTGCACCAGATTTCAGCTCTGCAGCTTGCTAGCTGCATGTCCTTGGGCAAGTGACACCACTTCTCTGAGCCTCAGTTTCTTCATCTGAAGAAAGGAGGTGATGACATTAGTGGCCTCGCAGGGTGGTGACATGAGACCCCAAGTAGAGCACTTAGCCCAGTGCTACTGAGTTACGGGGAGGCACTTCCTAAAGAATTTGTTACTGTAAGAAAGGATTTCAAGGAGCCTGCCAAGTAGAGGCCACAGAACCCAGTCAGTTTGTAGAGGTTCCAAACCACCCCTGTCTCCAAGGTGTGGTGGCTGATACAGACGTGGAGACTCTTCTCCAAGCCCCCCTCCCTCCACACTCTCAGTTTCTTCTACAAAGGTCCAAAGCGATGAGGAGCTCTTCTCTTGAGTTGAAGGCATAGGGAGCCAGCAGGTGAAGAAAGATGCCTTAGCAGACATTTGAGTAAAGACCCATGGTGTGCTGGGGACCCCGGATGTGCTACAGAGCTCACCTGGGGAACAGCTTGTCTCCCCAGCCAGATAACTGTGCCTCACAGGCAGGATGGTGCCCCTGTGGCATCACCCAACTTATGAAAGCACAAGGCTGAGTAAGCTGGAGTTATTGATTACTTAATTAAGCTTACTACTTTACTGGCCGACATCAGTGACTTACTTCCTTAAGCCAGTGAGGGCTTACTGCGACCCACGGTTGCATATTCAGGAATAAGAGGCAAGAGACCATGTATTCAACAGATGTGTCTTGAACACATTATGTGCTACCCAATGTATAAGGTCCTGGGGACATAGTGATGAGCAGATACCATTTCTGCTCTTATAAAACTTTCAGCCCACTAGGGGGAACAAGACAGAAACATGTATCAGAATGTGTTAATTTATTCACTCAAACCTTTCACACATAAACACACATATTCTTTAACAATAACCAAAAAAAAAAAAAAGCAAAAAAAAGAGATGAGAAAAAACTTGTAGATTAAAAGCAGTTGAGCATACTTAAAATTGTTATGACATTTTTATTTAAGAAACAGTTGGAAATGTGAACACTAATTGACTTTGTTGGTGATATTAAGAAATTGTTTTTAATTTTTAGGTGCAATAAAGGCACTGTAGTTATGTTGGGTTTTTTTTTAAAGGGATCCTAATCTTTCAGAATTACATACTGAAATATTTTCAGAAAATGGTTAGGTATCTGGGAATTGATTCAAAATAATACAAGAGGGGGAAGTGGGTAGGAATGTAGTCAAAACAAGATTGGCTATGAGTTCTTCATTGTCGATAAGAACATGGAGTTTCATTATAACATCCTATTATTGTTAACATAAAAAATGTTTAAGAGGGGCGCCTGGGTGGCTCAGTTGTTAAGCATCTGCCTTCAGCTCAGGTCATGATCCCAGGGTCCCAGGATCGAGCCCCGTATCGGGCTCCCTGCTCGGCGGGAAGCCTGCTTCTCCCTCTCCACTCCCCCTGCTTGCGTTCCTGCTCTCGCTGTCTCTTTCTCTCTGTCAAATAAATAAATAAAATCTTAAAAAAAAAAAAAAAAGAAAACAAAATTAAAAAAACATGTTTAAGAAACAAACTAAATTAGGCGAAGAGGCAGCATGATATGGTCAGAAAGAACAAAGGATTTGATGTCAAACAGCCATGGGTTCAAATCCGTCTCCTATTTAACTTCTGGGACTTAACCGCTCTGAGCCTCAGTTTTCCCATCTTTAGAATGGGCTAATGATACTAGGTACCTCAGAGTGGTCGGGGAGACTCAGTGAGTGGGCCCGTGGGGCCCAGTGCTAGTCTCTGCACTGAGTAGAGGCTCAGTACCTGGAAGGTGAATTTTAAACTCTTCTAATTTCTGTGAGCCAGAACTGACCCTGGAGGACCTCTTTCCCTTTCAGCTGGTGTTCCAGGGGAGGAGCCCAAGTGCAACATCTGTCTGGGGAAGACGTCAGGGCCGTTGAATGAGATCCTCATCTGTGGGAAGTGTGGCCTGGGTGAGTGTGGTGAGCAGGGCACAGAGGAGGCCCCGATCTGCGGTTCCCCACCCCCACTGGCCCAATGGGCAGGCCTCACTGTTGGGATCTCAGCTGGCTTCCTATTTCTGTTGGAGCTCCAGAGTGACAGGGAGCCAGTCTCTGGGAATGAGGGCCCAGGGAGGTGACCCCTGGGGAGAGCTGGGGCTTCTGGAAAGTGAGACAAGGTGTGCAGGTTGGAGCTCCCCCTGATCCAGTAGAGAGGAAGGGTGGAGAGATGGGGCACAGAGGCTGAAGCCCGACTGCGGTGCCTCCCCCCGCTGGGGCCCAGGCTGTCTTTGAGTCACCTGCTTGGACACGAGCGTGGCTGCCTTGGTGAGCATCGCCCGCCCGTCCCCAGGCAGCCGGCAGGCATAAGGCTTCTCCGACTTGCGGCCGCCCTCCCCAGCCCTGTGGCCTTTGGGCTGACTGGCCCAGGGCCACTGCTTCCCCGCGGGCACTCACCAGCCCCCCTCTGCTGTAGGGTACCACCAGCAGTGCCACATCCCTAGAGCGGGCAGTGCGGACCGGCCCCTGCTCACACCTTGGTTCTGCCGACGCTGCATCTTCGCGCTGGCTGTGCGGGTGAGCCCTCCATCTTTGCAGTCCCTGCCTTCCCCCACTTCACCGGGAAGCCTAGACTCCCTGGGCTCAGGCCGGGCTGCAGGTCGCAGAGCCTGGGCTTTGGAGGCAGACAGTGCTGCTGCCATTGATCACCAAGTGGTATGTCCTTGGCCAGGTTCCTTACGCCCCCTGAGCCTGTTTCCTCAACAAATGGCAAAATGGATATGGGTTTGGTGCCAGGGGTAGGCGCTTTGCTATCAACAGACAAAACCCATGTGAGCACCCCCACTCAATACATACTGGTTATTATCGTTACCTATATTGTTGCTCCTCAAGAGAGAGCCTTCTGGGATGGAGAGAGGATAGATACAGGATCGATGAGAAAAAGCTTCTTGCGCTTCCGACTACACTGGAATATCTGCGGGTCCGCGGGGTCAGCATGTCCCTTGCTAGCCACCCCGCCCTCCCCCCAGCCACCAACCCCTGCCGGGACCCCGCGGCTTGAGCCGGACCCACATCTCCCCGCAGAAAGGCGGCGCGCTGAAGAAGGGCGCCATCGCCAGGACGCTGCAGGCCGTGAAGATGGTGCTGTCCTACCAGCCCGAGGAGCTCGAGTGGGACTCGCCCCACCGCACCAACCAGCAGCAGTGCTACTGCTACTGCGGCGGGCCGGGAGAGTAAGGCCGCGGGGCGGGGCCTTCCCCGGGGGGCGGGGCGCGGGTGGAGTCCTGGGCAGGGGGCGGGGCCTCCCGGGGGTGGGGCCGGGGCTCGAGGTGGCGAGGCTCGCGCTCTCAGACCCAGGCTCCCGGGAAGGGAAGGAAGTACTGAAGCGAGTGTCCAGATCCTCCCAGCTCCTTGGAGCTGTGCGCAGCCCCTGAACGCAGTTCTCATCGTAGTGTCCCCGTATATGGTGTTGTGAGCAGAGTAGCGATTAGATAATTCACAGAAAGTCTCACCCAGGGCCTGGCACTTGGTCAGCACTCAATAAATGTGAGCTGTTACTGTTGGTGCGTGGAATTGAAGATAAACCTTTCCGTTGTCAGAGTCAATGAGATAGGCTGCTGATGAGATATTAAGGTACATTCCTCTGGAGGTGTGCAAGTAGGGGCTGGGGGTCATGTGTAGGGATGCTGTGGAGGGGATTCTTACCCTGACTATAGGACAAGAGTCTTTGGTTGATTCTTCCTTACCAGGCTGGGTGTCCATGTAGCCATGGGGGATTGAGCCTGCTCCCTTGGGCTGACTGCACCAGACATGGTGGCAGGAACCACAGAAGTGAGAGATAGGGTCTCTGCCCTCAGGACACAGCCTGCAGGATGCCCTGAAGTCCTGAATCTTGGCCCCAAGATCTGTTGACAAGTAGTAGGGGTCTGGAGACTGGGCTTACCCAGCCTAACTGGGTAATTTGGGCAAATCCCTTGAAGTATTTCATCTCTCAAGTGGGATCAACTTCCCTGAGTGTGGGAAGGGGTGTGGGATAATGGGGAGAAATGCTTAACGAGGCCTTTACAGAATTGAGACAGTAGCTCTCAGTGCTTACTGGGCAGAGCTGCTCAGGGTGACTGTTAAAAATGCATCTCCCAGGGGCTCCCCCAAAGATTGAGTAGGTCTCGAGTGGACCAAGGGATCTTCATAGTTTAACGTAGACCCCAGGTGATTCTGACGCACGCAGTCCAGGGACCTCACCCAGCAAGTTGTGAACAAAGCATCGATTGTCATTAAGGAAGTACCACTTTGCCCTTCATTCACACGAGAGGGTAGATACAGTACCGGGTAAGAAAAACCAGACGCGGTGCTGCCCCATGGAGCTTGCAGGAGCCATTACTCTCCTGCGTGTCTCCTGGGCAAGCCTTGGCATTTCGGTCGTGTCTGAGAAACAGTGTGTGGGGCGCAGTCCAGAGATGGGGGCTCCAGGGCGGCATGAAGAGCACAGGCTTTGAAGTGAGGGAGCCCAGGATTTGAGTCACCATCCACCACTTGCTTCCTGAGTGACCTTGAGCAAGCCATTTAAGCTCAGAATCACCCGTAAAATTAGGACAGTGGCCCGTCTTTTACCAGATGGTGAGATGAAACGGTAGAGCACACGCCTGCTCCCCCGACCGCCCCTGGCGCAGCCTGGGTGCTCGGTAACTGTGAGTCCCGTCCCCCCGCCCCCTGCCGCGGAGCGCGAGTTGGTGTAGGGAGCGGTGGCTGAGGCTGGTGGTTGGCTGGGAGCGTGGCCTGCCTGACCCTGGCTCCTCTGGCTCCAGATGGTACCTGCGGATGCTGCAGTGTTACCGGTGCCGGCAGTGGTTCCACGAGGCCTGCACCCAGTGCCTCAACGAGCCCATGATGTTCGGAGACCGGTAGGTGCTCACCTGGCCCGGCTAAGCCTCGCGGGGGAGGTGGGCGGGTGGGGGGAGGGGCCTCAGCAGGGGCAGCGGCTCCTGCAGACCGTCTGCGGGGCCCTACGCAGGCGGGTGGGGGTCTCTGGTGGTGGACACCTCTCCTGGGGAGTCTGCTCAGGGCGAAGGGGGCCTTCTCAGTCAAGGAGCGTGCCAGGCCGCGGCCCCAGTTGCCACTGACTCACGGGGGAGACCTCAGACAAAGTCCCACCTTCTGTAAGCCCTGGTCTCCTCCAGTGTCTGAGGAAGGAGGATGAGGCAGGCCCCGCCCCACCCCTACCCAGGCTACTAGAGGAGCCACTGGGAGGTGGATGGTTGATCTGGCCTCTGACAGATGGGGCTAAGCTAACACAAGGGTTATGTGTGTCGTACCAGATATTGTGTGTCTCGGTTGGTGTGTCGTGTTTGTGATTGTGTGCGTGTGCGTGCGTGTCTCAGGGGAAGAGGGTGCCGGCTCCAGCCCATCCTCGCTCAGCTCACTCTGAACTCAGCCACACTCCAGGATACCAACATAGGGGAAGGAGGGGCAGGGAAGTATTTCATGGTGTTTGGTGTTTGTCCTGCCCCATGCTAACCCCCACCCCCTGTAGGGCCCCTAGCCCTCAGGATGAGGACAACACTTACTGTGGGAAGGCAGGTGGGGAGTGTGGGGTGAGGGGCTGGGCTAGGGTGGGATGTCAGCTCTTCCCACCACAGGCCCCTCTCCACCCGCCCCCAGGTTCTACCTGTTCTTCTGCTCCGTGTGTAACCAGGGCCCGGAGTACATCGAGCGGCTGCCCCTGCGATGGTGAGAGGGTGGGGCTTGACCCAGGCCCACCCCCGTCCCCTCCCAGCGGCTCCGCTCCCACCGCCCTCCGGGAACAATTCCATTTCCAGCCACCAGCTCCCAGCCTTGCCCCTGCCCTTCAGCCTGGACCCAGGAGGTTCCAGCCCTGGTTGGGCAGGCTGCCACCTCACCCCAGCCCCACCTACTCGCCCCCTTGCCCAGGGTGGATGTGGTTCACCTGGCCCTCTACAACCTGGGGGTGCAGAGCAAGAAGAAGTACTTTGACTTTGAGGAGATTCTGGCCTTTGTCAACCACCACTGGGAGCTCCTGCAGCTTGGCAAGGTACGCAGGCCCATGGGACGGCAGAATGGCAGGAGTCCGTTCCCCAGTGGGCTTACCGAGGTCAGGAGAGGGGAGAGGTTTGCCCAGGGCCACACGGTGCATGCAGGACTGGGATCTCGGTGTCTGAGGGCTCACTCTCCCGCAGCACTGCCTGTCTGTGAGGGCTGTTGGCTGGGAGAAAGACCCAGAGCCTCTTAGCTGCCACGTCCCTGAGTCCAAGCCTCTAGGCCAGTGCCCTGCAAGGGGCTTCCTGACCCAGGCTTTGGCAGTGGGCGGGTTGGGGTCTCACTGACTCAGCAGCAGGGAGCTAGGGGTGCATCTGGCTGGAACAGGGCTCTCTGCAGAGAAGCTTGACGTCCTCCGGACCACCTGGCTACAGTGGAAAGTGAAGTGGGCCTGCCCCCTGCTGGTCTTACTCTGAATAGCAGAAGTCGTCCCCCGGGGGCCCTGGGACCCAGGGAGTAAAGTAACAAACCAGAGACTTTCAGGATGTCAGAGGTGGAGAGTGACTCGCTGGCGGCCAGCACAGCTTTGGAGCTGAGCCAGGACTGGAACCAACCTCTCCCATGGTGGCGCCATGCCCCTTTTTCCCTAACGACAACCTTAGAGTCCTTTCCACCAATCCAGAGTGAGGTATCTTCTCTACTGACTGCCCCAAATCTCTCTTTGATGAGACAGGAATTTACAAAAAAGAAAAAGACTTTTATGCTTTGTAGAAGCTTTTCATATAATAACATCTTCGTGTATAGTGTTTGATAATTTATAAGGCATAAATACTGTTGTGACACCTGGGTTGACACGGTCAGTTGAGCTGCTGATTCTTGGTTTCAGCTCTGGTCATGGGATCCAGCCTGCATCGGGCTCTGTGCTCAGCAGAGAGCACACTCCTTCCGTGTGTGTGCTCATGTGCCTGTCTCTCCTCCTCTCTCTCTCTAAAATAGATCAATAAATCTAAAAAAAAAAAAAAGATATACATATTGCAAAGCCTTAAAAGATAGAGCTGGTATTTTTAATATCTTTTTTCCTGATTTATGAAAAGAACATACATGTTCCTGGTAGAAAAATTTAAGCACTAAAAAGTATAAGGAAGTATACTTAAGAAAAAAATCATCCGGGAGCACCTGGTGGGTCCGTCAGTTAAGTGTCTGACTCTTGATCTCAGCTTAGGTCTTGATCTCAGGGTCTTGAGTTTGGGCCCCGTGTTGGGCTCCACGCTGGGTGTGGAGCCTACTTAAAAAAAAAAGTCATCCATATTCCCCCATCACACCACTCAGAAACCGTTGCTACTAATATATTCCATCCTTTCTTCTGTTTTTCCTTGGCTTATGTTATATAGTATATAAAATTTTAAATCATCTATTTTTTTCAGCTTACATTATATCATAAATACTTTTCCATATTCCGAAAGAGTTTTCATCAACATTTTTAATGACTCCATTGGTGTCCACCATGGCTTACTTACTGTGTTCCTTCCTATTGGGCAGGGAGTCTCTTCCCCGCTCTGCACACTTGCCGGTCATTAGGGCTGACGCTGCAGGGAAGCTTTGTTAAAGCTTTGTTCGAATTTCATGTTCTATTTCTGTGATAGAGCCCATGGAGTGGCATGACTGGGTCAAGGGCATGGGCATTCTTAAACCTTTTTTTTTTTTTTTTTTAGATTTTATTTATTTGAGAGAGAGAGCGCATGCATGCGCCAGAGAGAGAGAGAACGAGTGTGGGGGGGGGAGGGAAGAGAGAGAAGAAGCAGACTCCTTGCTGAGCAGGGAGCCTGATGCGGGGCTCGATTCCAGAACCCTGGGATCATGTCCTGAGCTGAAGGCAGACGCTTAACCGACTGAGCCACCCAGGCGTCCCATTAAACCTCTTGATCCATCTAGGACAGGAGTTAACTGTCCCATTTCCAGATGGAGAAGTGAGCTCAGAGAGGTGAAAAGATTTAGAATCTTAGCCGAAGTCAGGGCCCTCACTCAGAGATCGAGGGGAGGGAGGGGGCAGGGGTCATGTGCCTAGGTCTGATTCTCCTGCTGGCTGCTCCCCTCAGCTCACCAGCACCCCCGTGACTGACCGAGGACCACATCTCCTCAATGCGCTGAACAGTTACAAAAGCCGGTGCGTGCAGGGAAGGGAGGGAGTGCATGGGGCCCCCAACAGGTGGGATTGGGTGTAAAGCATCTTCCTGCCTCATGGCCTTTGCTCAAACTGTGCTCCAGCCTGGGTCTCTCTCCCCTTCTCTTTGACTAAATAAGTCCTACCCATTCTTCAAGATTCAGGGGGCACCCCACCTCCTTTGTGATGCCTCCCCGACCACTCCAGCAGCTTGATGCATTTGAGTCCTGGGTTCGGCTCCACAGAGGGTGCACCCCTGAGCTTTGAGGGCCCCTCCTGCTCTCGCCGTCTGTGGTTCTGGGCCAGGCACTGAAGGATCAATTCATCATCTACTGGGTGGGCTGCAGCCTCCTAACTCGTCTTTCCTCCAGACTTCCGAGTCCTTCTCAGAACACACAGCTGACACATCCCGTGCTGCCGCTGCAGGGAATGCCCAGGCTCCTGAGCACGGCATTCGAGGCCTCTCGTGAGCAGACCCTGCCCGTGCCTTCTGCCATGGAGCCATTGCTTTGTTTATTCTGGGTGTTGGCCATTCTGAACCCACTGCTCTCCCACTCAGTGCTTTTGCTCAGACCCCTCTGTTGACTAGAATGCTCTTCCATCCCTTCCACTCCTTTGTTCTACGAACGACTCTTGAACTGCTACTGTGTCAGCCCTGTGTAGGTCCCAAGGACACAGTGAGGAATAGGCATGGTCGCTGCTTCTGTGACACCTCTCGCACCTCTAGACAGCATTATCCACTCTCTCTTCCACCTTCGCAGGGTCTGGGGCCCAGACACAGTCCTACTCTTGAACAGTGGGGCCTCCCGCACTCCCTGTGGACAGTGCTCTGAGGGTAGGACTGTCTGAGTCACGTCCTCACCTCATGGCAGCTCAGCCAGTGCTGGAAGGAGGAGGGAAGCACCTGGAGGTGTTTTCAGTCTCCTTGGGGAGACCAGAAAACGGGACGGTGTAGAATCCAGTGTCAGCCATAGCTGTTCCACTGGGAGCTAGAGGAGGCCTTCCTGGAGGTGGTGACCTTGGGGCCAGTTGAGGCAGAGAAGAAAAGGGAGAGGAGCAGCAAGAATCATATACATGCAAGAGGGAGGACAGGGAGGAACCATCAGCCACATCCCCAGCCACCACCCTGGACCCTTGGTCCCACGGGCCTTGAGGAATCAGTGTCTCCACAGGCAACCCTGGATTTTAGCTCTAGGTCCAGGGAGGCAGAGAGGGTAATGTTAATGCTTGACTCTCCTGACCAGGAGGACGGACCGACAGACTCCAGAGCTTTCTCCTCCCCCTGCCCATCCCCCAGGTTCCTCTGTGGCAAGGAGATCAAGAAGAAGAAGTGCATCTTCCGTCTGCGTATCCGTGTCCCCCCCAACCCCCCAGGGAAGCTGCTGCCTGACAAGGGCCTGGCGCCCACTGAGAGCGGCGCCTCCTCTGAGCTGCGTAAGAGAGGAAGGAACAAGCCTGGGTCAGTGCCCGGGGAGCAAGCTCGGGGTCTCTGCTACTCCCGGCTACAGCCCCAGCCGATGGGCTGTGCAGTGGGCCCAGACAGGGGGCCCAAGTGAGCAGGGAAGACCTCCACCCCGCTAGGCCCAGCTGGAGGCACCAGAGAGGGTCAGTTAGCAACCGAGCTGGGGCCCGGTCCCACACCCTGGGCTCCTTCCACCGTCGCCCCTGTTGCCTTGCTTGGAGGGCAAGCCAGCTCATGGGGCCCGGTCTTGCTGGGTTAGGGCTTAGGCAGAGAGGGAAGGGGAAGTGAGAGTGTGTAAGGGGTCCCTGGTTCTGGCTGAGCTGAGCCCCTCGTCCTGGGCGTCGGGGACAGACCAGCCTTCTCTCTCTCCTGCCCACCATACCCCCCCCCACGCCCTCCCACACCCACTGCCTGGAAGGAGCGCCTGCCCCCCCCCAACCCTGCACTGCTGTGTCCCCAGGCCTGCCTCTCCTCCCCCTGGGCCTTCAGGCTCTGACCCAGCCCCCCTCTCCCCTTTCTGTCTCCACAGTTTGTTGCCTCACGAATTCCAGCAGCAGAAAAGGCGAGTTTATAGAAGAAAAAGATCAAAGTTTTTGCTGGAAGATGCTATTCCCAGTGTTAGTTTCTTGTTTTCTTGCTCTCCACATTCACACACAGGGTCAGCACACAGTAGGGATTCCTGTGCAGGGAACTGAGCACCCCAGGCCTAGGGGGAAACTCTCCCACGTCCCTTAAAGGAGAAGCCAGTTCCTCCTCTAGCTAAACAAGCAAAGGCTAGGGCACTGCAAGACCACTCCCTTATCTCCTCAAGTTCTCCCCAGAAGCCGCGGGGGCAGGGCAGGAGAGGTGATGTCCTTGCCCCCACGGTCCCGTGGGGTCACTGCGGACCAGGAAGGGCCAGCGACTCTCCTGAGGTCACACGTCAGCCAGTGGCCGAGCCCAGTCTAGAACAGGTCCCCAGAGCACTCTTTCCTTAGTGGCCGGGCCTCGGCGCAGCAACCCTCTGTGTGGACAGTGACGCCAGTGGTCCTCACACCTGCCCCGCACCTGACGCTGGGCAGGCTGCTCGTAGTCAGCATCTCACTCCGCTCTGCGTCCCGGCCCCGTGCGCAGGGAAGCCCAGCAGCTGTCCCTGTCCGCCTTCTGCGGTTCGGGTGACTGAGGCCCAGAGATGGGAAGGGGGCGCAGTCGGCTAGAGAGGGAGTCAGGGCTAGGCCCGCTGTGATCTGGCTCCAGCCTGGGACGAAAAAGCGAGTGACCAGTCTTACCGTCCGGAGGCCCAGTCCTCGGAGAGCCTGTGTGGCCCTCGGCAGAGAGAGGCTGCTGTGAGGCGGGTCTGATGCTCACTGACCCTCCTTCCCCTCCTTCCTGTGTCCACAGAGCGACTTTACCTCAGCCTGGAGCACCAACCACCACCTAGCCAGCATATTCGACTTCTCACTGGATGAAATTCAGAGCTTAAAAAGGTAAACAGTGAGGGACCCGGCCAGAGAGGGCTGCTCTGAAGTGTGGGTGGAAGCAGGTAGTGAGACCTCCATTCCCCAGCAACGAAGGCAGGCTCTGGAAGGGACAAAGCAGAGAGCCTTTCAAGGAGTGGAAGCTCCCTCGGGGTCATTCCAGTTAAAGGGGTCCACGCTGCATTAGGCTGCCTGCCTCGGCTGCCTGACCGGTCTTCCCACATTAGAGCTGTCTCGGCACGCCATGCCCCTGCTGGAAGGTGGCCAGGACAGCCCCCCAGAGCACGGTCACAGGCCACCTTGCCTGGGCCCTCCCGACCTCTCCAGCCCCTCTTCTGCTGCTGCCGGCCCTCCCGCCGTGCACCAGAATTGCTTTGGTTACCCCGCATTCCCATTCCTTCAGGGCGCCTTCCCTGACGCGCCCCAGACTGTGTCGGTGCACCTCAGGGGAGGGCCTGCACAGTCCCGTTTCGGTTCTGAAATGATGAAAGGTCATTTAGTGCTTCCTGGAGCAGGGCAAGGGCTTCGGTCACACAGGCCTGGGCTCCAGCCCCTACTGAGCAGCTACTAAACTGTGCAGCCCCAGCAGAGTCCTTCAGCCTCTCTGAACCTCATCACCTGTGTCTGCATGGCTGGTAGGAGGTTGAAACAGGTGCTAGAAATGAAGGCCGTTCGGGTCTAGAGAGTAGCCGGGTGTCGGGGGGCCAGGCTCACGCTCTGCTCCCTCTCAGCGCCAGCTCAGGCCAGACCTTCTTCTCAGACGTGGACTCCACTGACGCCGCCAGCACCTCTGGCTCGGCCTCCACCAGCCTCTCCTACGACTCCAGGTGAGGTCCCCCCCACCCCGTGCCTTCCTCAAGCTCGGGGACCTGGCCCTCTCCGCTCGTGAGTCTGGGTCTGGGACCCTCTGCTTCGGAGTCCTGGGGTTCAGACGGGGCTGCGTACGGCCATTCACGGTGCTCTGCCCCAACTGCGGGTGATGTGACATTTGTCCCTGGGGAGTTTCCGCGCTAGGATTCTTGGCCTCCGTGGGCCACGGCTTCGCATGTCTCTGCCTCTGAGCGCAGGGTGCCCTGCTTCTTGGCTGTCTAAATCTGGGGTCTGTCTTCTGGGTCCCTAAGGAAAAGAGCCATTGATTTGGAAGCCTGATGGAGGGGGAAATGGCATCATGCAGGGGGTGGGGCCTGGGAGAGGGGACAGAAAGGCCTGGGGACCTAGGCAAGGCTACCGTCTGTTTGGCAGTAGCCAGTCCTCAGCAGCGCAGGAGGCTCCTGCAACTGCGTTCTAGGACACTCGTGTCCTGGCGCCTGTCCGCCCGCAGGCCTCTCTGGGTGTCTCTCTGCCATCACCTCTGTCTTTGTATTTGGGTCCTCCTGTTTCTTTGGTTCTCACAAGCTCTTCGGGGCTTGCTTCCTGTTTCTAAGCACCTGTGGACACGCACCTCTTGTTTTGTGTGTGTCTGTCTCTCCCCCAGCTCTTTCTGTCCCTGTGTATGTGCTGCACACGCACATGTGCCTTTCTCCAGTCCAGGCTCTGGGGACAAGGTCCGCTAGTGGGTCGCTCCCATCCCCCCACCCCACTGGACTCCTAGCTGCGAGTCCAGGGACAGTCCAGGGAAGGGACAAGGCAGCGCAGGCAGGGCCTCGGCAAGTGGCCTTTAGCGCTGGGCACACACAGCACCCCCTCCCCCCCCCCCCGGGGGCCGTCCCCCCCCCCCCCCGCCTCCCCGAGCCGCCTCAGGACTGTGGTGAGGACCCAGGGAGGTGCTCCATCCCAGCGCCAGGTGCCCAGGGGGCGCTCGGGGAGAGGGGCCTGTCAGTATGACTCCATCCCATTCCCGTCGTCTTCCTCTCCCCATCCTGACGCAGACGGACAGTGGGCAGCCGCAAGAGGAAGCTGGCAGCCAAAGCGTATATGCCGCTGCGGGCAAAGCGGCGGGCAGCCGAGCTGGGTGGGCGCTGCCCCTCGGACAGCAGTGCCGAGGGGGCTTCGGGCCCCGAGCGGCCGGACGAAGGCATCGACAGCCACACCTTCGAGAGCATCAGTGAGGATGACTCGTCCTTGTCCCACCTCAAGTCATCCATCACCAACTATTTTGGCGCGGCCGGGCGGCTAGCCTGTGGGGAGAAGTACCAGGTGTTGGCCAGGAGGGTCACGCCCGAGGGCAAGGTTCAGTACCTGGTGGAGTGGGAAGGGACCACCCCTTACTGACTCGCTCCAGGAGATGCCAGGAGCCTGGAAACCAATGGAGAGACACTCCTCTCCAGGCGGGGATGGGGGAGGAAAGCAAGAGACAGCTCCCAGTGCCTGGCAAAAGGCCCTTCGCGCCCGCCTGCCAGGCTGAGGCCTGCGCCACTCTGCGTGCCCATTCTGCTCTTGGGCCTCCTCCGGCTCCTCACCCCTTTGCCTGTGTCTCTAAGGTCCCACTGGCTATGCCTCAGTGTCTCCACACACCCCCGCAAACTGTTTACCTGTAACTCTGAATTGGCGTTCCCCTGGCTCTCCGACCCTTTCTCCTGAGGCCCGAGTCTTTCTCTTTGTCTGTGTCCCTCCCTCCCACCCCTTCTGGGTGTGTGCGTGTACACACTCACGCACGCACGGCTGTCCCTCTCCTGGATGCCCTTCGCCCCTGACCCATGCGCAGCCAGTCGACCCCCGGATCGCATTGTAAGAACAGGAACCATGAAGCATTGCTGAAGGTAGAGAAGAGGACACGCCTCTCAGAGCTTTTCCCCTCCCGCCTTCCTGCCACTCCCTGCTGCCCTTGGCCAGGGGTGGTGAGGGTGGGAGACCACCTCTGTGAAAGCCTGGGAGGCAGAGAGCCTGGGACTTGGGATCTGATGCCCGAAGAGGCTGGGTCTCTGCCTCCGACGGCACCAACGCCAGAGCCCAGTGACTAAGGCTAAGCGTAAAGGCTGTGGGTGTCAGCTTCCCAGGTCCCAGGAGTCGTCCTCTCCCTGGCCACAGCCCCTCACAGTTGCCAAGGAGCTGCGCCTGGCCTTGCTGGAATGAAGTGGCCTGGAAAACCTGCAGGAGAGGAAGTGGGAGGAAAGGAAGCGCTGTCATGCTAACCTTCAGATGTCTCCTGTGCCTCCCAGCCCCCGACCCACCACACACGCGGCCAGACAATACACACTCACACAGAAGCCCCCATCACCCGTGTGCTTTCACCCTCCGGAGTACACACCACACACACCCACACCACACACCCCCACTCCCTCTGGTACCAGCCTGGTCCCTGCCCCTGGCTCTCCCTTGGCCCTCTTCAGGGCCACGTGCTGCAACCACACGCGGAAGTCCAGCCCCTCCCCCCTTCTTTCAGCCATGAACCAGCTGTGACCCCGCGGGGAGGCACAGAGGACGCCTACCCTCTTCCTTAGCCCCTGCTGTGCCCTGAGATTGACAATCACTTTTTGGGACAGGTTGGGATTTTCAAAGGGCTTGTGTTATTCAGTCCCCTCAAAGGAAAGCCTTTGTCCGTGGGGTTAAAAATAGAATTCTTAGAACTGACATTACAACTCCTACCCATCTGGAGGATAACCAAAAGTGAGACGGGGAGGGGGACCCCTCATTTTTGCTGCTTCCAGAGATATTAGAAACTGACATGATTGGAAAGTAGAAAGAAGTGCCTTCACTAGGGCAGGGGCTGGGCCAGATGGGCACCAGCCTTGCCAACCGCTGCTGCGGCCCCCAGCTTGGCTGGGTTTTGCAGGCCGCCAGCTGTGGGGCAAAGGTGGATGACCAGAGGGGTGGCGTGGGAGCAGCGGGCCTGGGGAGCTGGTTTTTCTATTGCTAGGCTCAGCCCCTCCCCATCTGTGAGCATCAGGGAGTCCCTGAGATCATCCAGATGCCCTTTGCCTCAAACTTAGCTCCTATAGTGCCTTTCACACAGGACCTCACCTCCTGCACACGGCCCACCCACTTCCCTCTGCTACCCTAGCGTGAGCCAGGCAGGGAACAGCTGGGGGTGGGCCCCGTTCTCTCCCTTCTCAGCCCCACAGCTGCTGCCACTGAAGCCCCCAACTGGGGCCAGATGGAAGGGGAGCTGAGAAGCCAGCCCCCGCCTGGCAGGGGTGTGGGACCTGGGATCCGATCTGTGGCTTCCGAGGGTACAGCAACCCCTCCCCCCCCCAGGCCTGCTTTCTAGGGTTCTGAGAAAGCACAGGTTGAGCAAGGCCTGCCACAGTGCACCTGTACCTTCTCTACTCAAGCTCCGGAGAGGCTCTGGGCCTGAAGAAGGGGAAGGGGGGAAGGGGGTGTCTTCCTCATTTGGAAAGTCAGCATAAGGCCTAGTAAGGCCACCTTGACTCCACATCCCAGCATTTCATTACCAGTTAACAGCTGCATTACTGCCAACTTACCTTATAATAACCCTATGCACCTTTGAAAAGATTTATGGTTTTGAATTTGCTGCTTTTAATAACATTTGTTATATTAAAGTTATAATTAATGTGTCTGGTTTATAATTTAAAAGCTCCCTTTGAAAAATTAACTATCTTCCCTCTCGCGAACGAACTATCAGCTGTTGGGCACCGGGAGGAATTATCTGGTTTCTGGTCTTGGTTTCCTGAAAACTGAGGAGGAATGGCAGGACCCCCTCTGGCCACCTGCCAGTCCTTCAACTGCCTCCCACATTCTCCCCCACAATACTCTCACCCTTACCACCAATAGGATGTGGAACTTCTTATCTGTGAGTACCTGACCCATCAGAGCAAAAAGCATTAGCTGACGGCCGTGGAGAAGTAAAAGATGGGAAATGGCCTTAGAAACGGACCTTGTTAAAATACGTACAGCCACTGTAAAACTACTTAATGCACACAGGCACACAATCCTAGAAATGTGCAGTCAGTTCTAGGCCTGTCTCTGCTAGTTATAACTTACAGCACTTTGGGCAGGTTCCTTTGCATTCCTCACCCTTTCAATGCCAGCAATAATCCCTGCTTTAGTCAGCCCCCAGGTGAAAGAGGAAACCATTTCACATATGTGATGGGTTAGGACCTTAAACTTGTCTGAATTTGAAAAAAAAAAAAAAATTGGCATGAAGGGATAGGAAAAAGTCAGAAATAGGGAGGTACAGGCCATGGTTCAAGGGGATTTGTAATTTCAGGGGTAGAGTGTAGCCTGTTAAACACCCTAGAGTGTAGCCTATTAATGTCTGCACTTAGAACTTCATTAACTGTGGCTCCCACTTTTTGCTACCATGCTTTCTGCTTTGGCCTTTTAACTGCCCTTAGAACAAAATCACAGTTGGAGCCAGGGTGGGAGAAGGGAGTGGGATTATTCCTTGGGCTGAAATCAATTTAATGGAATGAAAAGTGAATGGTCTGTGGTGTCAAGAGACTTGGGTTTCAGTCCAAGTTCCAAAGTGAACAGCTGTATAGACCTCCTCAGATCAGTGGTCCTTCCCAGGCTGAAGAGTGCCTGGTTCTTTGTGGTCTAGATTAGTGATTCAGATTTACAATAAATATTTACCTTTGGAGCTTAGGAACAAGAAATTAGAATTCTCAAAAATTCCCCAAATCATAAGTTATTCTTAAAATACTTAAAACATTTTTCGTATTTTCCCCATTATCATTGATATCTGAAAAAATTTTAATAGGAATTTTACTTAGTAGTATTTACAAAGAACTGTAGCCTATAGGGAATATTTAAACACTGGAAAATGCCAGGGAACATTATTGGATAGCATTCAAAGAACACTCAAATATCCTAGCAAGGTTAAGAATACTACATGAAATCACGTGTCAAAATTGCTCAATTAAAATTTATTTTGCTACCAAAGCTTATTTCTTCAAAGCTCATAGAATTTGTTTAATGTATACTATGTGTATAAACTCATCTGCAAAAATAACACACAGTTTGCAGCAGACAGGGCTAGACAGACACACTTGGGAGTCAGCAACAATTGCAAGCAAGACTGATTCCATGGTAATCATTTCTCTCCTGCACACTCCTGTCCTGGTTCCCTTCAACCCTCAACTCCGCATGTTGGTGTTTCTTGCTCTTTTTTTATCTGATGATTTCTCCAAACCTGTTGACATCTCTATGCTTTTAAGCTTCAGTATTCACAGATAATTTTAGTATTTTTTTCTCATTTCCTCAAGTGATTTTTCTGGAGACTTTGGATTCAAAAAACAGACCTTTCCTGAGAAACGCTGGGAAGGCATTCCTGCATGGAGCCGCTAGTCTAGGTCCTAGCCCAGCCCCACAGTGGCACTCTGGGGGGACAGTGTGGTCCTAGGGTAAGTAAGCTGGGAGTCACGCAGACCTGAAAAATCACTGAACTCCTCTAGATCTGTTCCCTCATCTGCAGAATAAAGATCCTGTCACCAGCCTCCAGATCTGCGGGGAGAAGTAAACAATACAATATATTTTTAAGCGTCAGACCAACTTACTGCACAGTTTTTTGGAACCAATAACCCTTCTTTTAGAATTGGCTACAGTAGGCTCTCTAGGTGTTTGGCCTACCAAAGGTATGTCCAACCTCTCTGAAGGAGGCAGTAAGAGCATCAGATCTAGAATTGGACACGTGGGTTCACAGCCTAGCTCGGCCAAGTATTTTAAGTGTCATGCTCTCTGATCTCAGGAGTCAGCTTCCAGCTGAGGAGAACAATGAGTCAGAAGGATAAAATAACGTGGAGAACCTAGGAGAGCACCAGGCAGAGAGCTGGCGTTTGTCCTCTCCTCTCCCATTTCCTGTAGTCAGCTGGGACACTGAGGCAAAGGAAGTCCCCCAAGGAACAGTTTTCTGTGCACAGTCAGCACAGAAAATGCCCCAATGAAGGTCAGAAACAGAAAAATCTCCTTTGGAATTAGTCCCACTTTAAGAAAGTTCCAAGAAAAAAGGCTGGATTTTGCCAATTCCATAGATGAGTAACTGTGGGCTACAGAGAACTCTTTATTCAAATCCTTGAAACATCAATTTGGGAATACTTGCCCAATCCTGTGCAAGAGCTCAAACAGATTCAGACATGCCCTTGACCTCGAGCAGCTCACGATCTAGAAACAGGAAGATGACTGTGATACACAAGGATGACAGGGACACCGAGGCCGGAGAGCTTCCCTCCCAGCTGAGCTGGTCTCGCAAAGGGGCAGCCAGATTTCCCAGGCATCCGTGCGGCCAGCGCTCCAGGCCGAGGGGAGGCCCGAACACGGGAAGAGCTTCACACAGCCTACTGGAGACATCTCCTTGCCAGCGTGGGCAAGGACAGGTGGAAGGTGAAGATGGAAAAAGTGAGGTGGGGCAAGGCTATGAAGGGCCTTGAAGGCCAGACCAAGAAACTGGGCTCTAGGGCGCCTGGGTGGCTCAGTTGGTTAAGCGTCTGCCTTCGGCTCAGGTCACGATCCCAGTACCCTGGGATCGAGTCCTGCATCAGGCTCGCCCTGCTCTGCGGGGAGTCTGCTTCTCCCTCTGCCTCTGCCTGCCACTCCCCCCGCTTGTGCACTCTCTCTGTCAAATAAATAAATAGAATCTTAAAAAAAAGAAAAAGAAAAAGAAACTGCGCTCTATCCCGAAAGCAACAGAGGTAGTCCTTCTGGGGTCCCCAAAGCACTTTCCCTAGGGTTTACTTTATCCAAGATTTTCACGTGTATCAGAAACATCTGTTGTAAAAAGGGACATCACCATTATCATTCTCTTTGTCCTTCTCCTGAGGCAACCCTCCAAAATCCCCACTGGCTATCAAAACAGGATCCTCTGGACCTTTGGAAGAGCCTCAGCCTTAAGTCCCTACAGGAGCTTCACAGAAGGGCCCTGGGAGGGCCTCCATCTTATATTTGGAGGAACTAAGGTTTAAGAAGCACAGCTCGTGTCAGAACTAGAGCCTGGCAGTAAAAACCCATCCCACATACCCTTCCATCTGGGAAGACCCAGGATTCCACAGAGGTCTGTGGACCCCCACGCAAACTGCCCACAAGTCTCCCCAGAGCGAGGTTAACTTGTGACAGGTTCATGGAGGGGGCCTAGCTCAAGCCTTTCTTCTCACCCCAAAGGGGCTCTGCCTTCCCTGCTCCCTTCCACCTGAGACCCAGGGAGCAGGTAGAGGAGCACCAGACACAGGGTGAGCAGGCTTGGCCTTACCATCCTTAATGCAACACACCACCCCCTTGCTGGACCTCAGTGCAGTTCAGTTTCCTTTGGTAATCTATAAAATGGGAGACCGGCTTAGACCACTGGTTTACTAGCTTTTAACCAAAAAAATTAACAAAACAAAACAAAACCCAAAATCTTACAAGTGAGCTTAATATATAAAAATGATAAAAGGTAGTTATACTGGTTGAGGTATGGGTGGGGAGCCTCATAGCCTTACCCCCACCCGGGAAGCACCCAGGGTACCATCTGTCAACTTCTGAGACCCAAGGGAACAAGTCTGGAAAACACTGGTCTGGCAGTTCCCAGGGGTCTTTCCACTTTAGGATGCTCAGTTTCAATGCTCAACTGACAAGGTTAGTACCACGGGCTCAGAACCTATGTCTCCAATGAGCAAGGCACCAGAACCTTCTGATACCTGTCACATTCAGGCTACGGAAGAGTCTAGACCTGCTTCTAAGCCAGGAGGCTGTGTCTAATACCTAATGCTCCCCCAGTCCTACCCACACTCATGAAGCCCATTCCTACTTCCTCAGGACTCAGGAATAACAAATAGCATGTTTAGTTACAAGAAATAATCCTGCTTGTCCCTAAATTTCTACCATTAGCAATTCATCCTTTTGGGTAAAGGGCTTGCCAGTTCCCCTAGAAGGCGACATTCAGCCCACACACTTCGGGTAAACAGGTCACCAGGTCCATTCCTCCTCATGAGAAGCAGAAGAGTAATGACATCCTGGGCACTCGAGGGAGGCCCAGTGACTGAAGGAGATGACAAACCTCACCCTCACTGCCACCTCCCCTTGGCCTCCCCACATAACCATCCTCGCCCTCCCACCCCCTAGCCACCTTTAAGCCTGAAGCACTCGAGACGAATTCCACCGGGTTCTTGTTTGGCCCGACCCACCCAGCCTCTTCTTCCAGCCTCAGGGGCTCAGACCTTCAGCCTCTCAAGTTCCTTGGCTCTTCCATGATGTAATGACACAGAATCCCCAGAGTGTAGCTGCTGCAGGCTAGACAGAGGCAGCCATCAGGAGACACAAAAGCCTCCCCCCGCCCCCAACTCAGTCCTCCTCCATGCCCTCCTCCAGCCACTTGAAATAGTGGACATCTCCTTGGTCCATGGGAAGACTGAAGACTTCTGGGATTTCAAAAGGATGCACCAACCTTTGGAAAGAAAGCAGAGCCCTGTAAGTAGAATCAGCCTATGCAATTAGACCCAACTGGAAAGTATCACCTGAGCTGCCCTGCGATCTGCCATAGCCCACCTTGTCCAGCGCAGTGGCCCACCACTTCCGAGCCTGTTTCCCACCTGTCAACAAGTGGGGAGTTGGGCCAGATGGCTTTAGAGTCTCACAGTCATGGGTTCAAATTCTAAGTCTGCCCCTCCTCATAGCTATGGAACTATGGACAGGTCACTTAGTTTCTCCAAAGGCCCTACAAAAGAGGGGATAAAAATAGTCCCTCCATGATTAAATGCGATGAGGCACATGAAGCGCTCACCTGGTATACTGACCAGCCTTGCGTGCCCTGTTAAATGTCACTTACTATCTTCATTACTATCCCACACTCATCACTGTGCCTTCCCCAAACAAGCTCAACCCTAACCCCCCCTCCCCTATACCTCCGGATTCTCTTCTCCATCTAGAAAGTTCTCTGTTGATCACTTAAAAGCTTATCTATCCCTCAAGTCCCTACTCAACCACTGACCTTCTCCAAGGGATCTTCCTCGACTATCCAAACCCACAGGGATCTCTCCCTTCTCTCCATTTCTTTCACCTGGCCTTCAGCACACAATACAAGTTCTCTTCACTTCTCAGACCAAAGATATATGAGGCCTTGGGCCTCAGTCCCCCATCTGTCAAATGGGGGTGATAATCCCCTGCTTCCTTTCCAATGAAAGAGGCAATGTCAAGTTCTCATGAGATAACACACTTAGAAATCACGACACACGCACAGGCGCTTAAACATCTGGGAGTTGGGGTAATTTTATCCAGTGACTTGAGATAATGAATTTTCTTATTTTAGGGACACACATCAGTGTACGTATTTGTTTGTTTTATTTTGGGGGGGGTGAGGGGCAGAGAGGGAGGGAGAGAGAAAATCTTAAGCAGGCTCTGTGCCCAGCGCAGAGCCTGACATGGAGCTCAATCCCAGGATCCTGAGATCATGACCTGAGTGGAAATCAAGAGCTGGATGCTTAACCGACCGAGCCACCAGGTACCCCTATTATTTTAAAAGAACTAAAATATTTTTTTAATTTCTCTAAATTTTTTTTAAAAAAATAAATTTAAATTTTTATAAATTTAATTTAAATTAATAATTAATTTAATTAATTATTTTTTAATTTCCCCTATTATTTTAAAAGAACTAAAATATTTTTTTAATTTAAATTAAAAAATATTTTTTAATTTAATCAATTTTTAAATTTCTTAATATTTATTAAAAATATTAATTTTTAATATTGTTTTAATTTCTAATATAATAAACTTTAATATAACCCATGCAAACAAAGCTCCTCTGGCCCCTCAATAATTTTTAAACATGTAAAGGGATCCTGAGACCAAAATTTTGAGAACCATTGTCTCAACAAACTCATTCCAGCCTCTCATTTTACAGATGAAGAATCTGAGGGGCAGGGATGTGCCCAGGGTCATGTGGGAGGTTGGTGACTAGGCGCTAGTCTCCTGATTTTCAAGCTCATTCACTTCATCCCCAGTACGTCCCTGGCTGAGAAGAGATGCCAACATTACCTGATATAGCTGGATAGCACGTGGACCTTGGAAGTCTTTGTCTTTATTAGCTGTAAAAGAAAAAAAAAAAAATCCCTGCTTTAGGGAGGACCTCAGGCCCAGCTGGGCAGCTACTGATTCATCTGGCCACTCAGGAAACAGCATTCCTCCAGGTGACCAGGCACTGATGCATTTGCAAATTAGCCTAGGGCATCTGATGTGGGGCAAGAACCTCAATCGGTTGATCTTTGCTCAATTTTCCCTGGAACCTGGGAAAAGGCCTTGGTCTCACTCTTCCCCTATCAAGGCCCCAACGCCCCCATCCTCACTCACCAACAGGATTTCAGTGGCTTCTTCGATTTCTCCATTCCAAAAGTACCTAGAGAAGAGAACAAAAGCAAATTATGATGCTCGCAAGATGAGCCCAGTGAGATGCCTGACCTGACCCAGTCAGGTGACTTACCAAGGTAGAAACTTTTAAAATCTTTCCAAGCCCACATAAAAATGTCTGGAATTGGTCAAGTCCCCAAAGGTCATCTAGTCCAACCATTCTAATGAATGCTTCTAGCAGCTGCCTAAACATTCCTGGGGGTGAGAGGTTCACCATCTCTTGAAGAAGTCCATCGATCTACCTTACAGGCTAGAAAACATGAGATGGTTTTCTTTATGGCATGCCAACATCTGCCACCCAGTCGTTTTCTCCACCTTCCATATGAAGAGCCACCTCAGGGCAGCCCTGCAGAAACTCCTATGTTTTCTCTCCTCCAAACTGGGCATCTCCAGCTCTTTCGGATTTTATTTATTTATCTTAATAAGAGAGAGTCTCAAACACACTCTGCGCTAAGCATGGAACCTGATGTAGGGTAGGGCTCGATCTCACGACCCTGAGATGACGACCTGAGCCGAAACCAAGAGCCGGACACTTACCCGACTGTGCCACCCAGGCGCCCCTGCAGCTCCTTCTATGCTCATCCTATACTCCTGGCTTCTAGGCCCCTCCCATCCTTTGGACTAGTGCTACTTTTATTATTGACTCTCAAAGTGGAGTGCCCACAAATGGATAATTAAAAAAGCACAGGAGACTTCAGGGAAAAAGTGAGCCTTATAACATATGAAAACAGGTCCAAAACTTAAAAAACAAAGTCAGTAATGAAGTTCAGAAAAGAGTCCAAAAACAGTTATCAATGGAAGGGAAAGAAAGTTGGCCTGAAAATATCAACACTGACTCAGGGCAAGTCTAAGATAGCCTACTCCACTGGTGCTATGGTGAAGGGGTCAATTATAAAAAGGATGGACATATGAAGGGAATGTGAGGCTGAAATTCTGTTCTAGTTCCCAAGCACTGGTTCCCAGACTGGCTTTATGTGAATCACCTACACAATTTTTTAAAAATTCAGTGACTCAAGCCCCACTCTCAGGGAGAATGATAGAGCAGATCTAGAATGGTGCTCAGGAATCTAAAGCACAGCCAAATTTGGGAGCTATAGAGCTATAGATGATGTGAGCCCTGAGGGGATGACATCACTGGGGGAGGGGTGTGGAGGGAGCTTCCCTTACAGAGCACTTTTCTGTTTTGACCTTCACAGTAGATATTCTCTCTCCTCACCCACCGTCCCTCCCCCCACCCAACCAGGGGAAGAAGGAGATGAGAAACAGGCTAGGATGGGCGAGATTACGGCACAAGACAAATCCTGCACAGCTAGTACTGGGATGCTGACATATTTCGATGAGGGAAATGGAACAGACCAGAATTAACTCAAGTGAGGGTGTTAAAGAAATGAAAGGCAAACAACACAAAAACAGCTTGTCACATAAGCCAACCCCTCAAAGTTTTCCAGAGAATTCAAAAGCAGTGGGAATTAGCTTCTTTGATATCCCTAATAGGCTTACTCAGGGATGGAATGCCCAGTCGGACTTCTTTGCTAACAGCAAGCTAACTAATTTAAACAAAGAATGTGCAAACAAGATTCGCTTTTCCTAAACTATAGGTCTTTTTCCTCCCTTCTCTTATTTTTGCTTTTGTTGGTTGACAGAAATCCACTAGGTGACTTCCTCCGAATGCAAATTAACAATGAACTGTTCCTTAAACAAATACCCAGCAGCTGAGTGTTCTTTCCACCAGCCAGGACCTGACCCAGCACCCCCACACCGTTCTACAGGCCATAGCAAAACTCACAGTGAGGATGCCTTGGGCAGGATGTTCACAGAGGCAGCCAGCTTCTTATCCAGGCTAGCCCTAAAGCAAACAGACAGAGTCACCGTCACCAGGGTAAGTACCCAACATCTTAAGAAAAGGGACAAGGCAAAGGAGTTCTTGGGAATTACTCTGGTTTCCTGAGAACCATTTAGAGCACCCCTTCCCCCTCAAGCCAACACATTCCATAACCAGCATGCACACCACAGAACTTCTAAAGACAGCGCAGTTTATAAATCCTTCCCTGGGTGGGGAGGAAAGGAAGGAAGCAGCTATGGCAAGGCAGTTTTAAGGACAGGCCCAGTCTGTTTGGGGAAGGGAAACTGATTAACACTGGACACAAGACGTGGATTCCATTCCCGACCCTGCATGTGACTTTAACCATGTTCTTTCTTTCATTCTAAGAATAAGTATTTGAGCCCCTATCCAAGATAGGCATGTCCCCCTCACTCAAGCTGACTCTCCTGCTGTACAATAACAGGATCAGTTTAGTCAGTGGTTTCCAACCCTTCCACCGTCATTTTAGTCTATCACCATCTTCTGCTTTTATCTCTCGGGTATGTGTCGGGCTGACACTCACTGCTTCTGATCTGTAGATACCCACGTGACCACACAGAACAGCTATAAGTCCAAGTAAGAGAAAAAAAAAAATCATACCTTGTGTTTGGCAAATATAGGCTCTTTTCACCTTTTTTATGTAAAGGTTTCCACCATAGCCCTAAGAGCAGAGCCACCACTTTGCAGACCTCTAAGATTTTTTGGGCAGACCACAGCTTGGAGCTCCTGGTCTGATGTTCTGAGTCCTGTGCAGAGCCCCAGGGAACGCAGTCAGATGTGCCCGAATTAGTGTAGGTGTCACAGAAACAGGGGCACCACCAAATCATCGATGCAAAGAAGCATTCCCAAGCAACAAAACCAGAAGCCCTCAGAATCAGGCCGGCCCTGACAAACCTTTCTCAAGTCTCAGGCCGCCAAGCGGGGGGGGGCAGTCTCTGTGCTCTGAAGTGCCTGGACCCTGCCAGATAAACCTCATCTGAGCCCTGCACACCGATCCCTCCTGCCCTCAGCTGCTGCCAAGAGAACTGACCTACTTTCTCTTCTATGAGTTCCAGGTTCAACAGTGCTCTTTTTAAGGCTCCACATTAATGTGGCACTCCCTTGGAAAGTTCCAGATCTAAATAAGTCCCTGACTGTAAGGAGAAGCACATAGCACAAATCTGTTTAAGCAAACGTGGCAAGTCTTACTCACTCAATTGTCCACTGAGAAATGACATTTTATTGCTCCTGAAGGTGGCAAGGAAACACAGGGAGTGAGTTAAACCTTTAAAAAAAATAATCCCATTGTCTCAAAGGCCCAGAATATAAACTCCTCAGTGACTGATCACAGCAACCTGTCCACAGGTAAAAGACTGTAGAAATATGGAGGGCTGTGTTCTTCAAAAAGACCCTATAGCCAAAGGAAAAAACCCAAAACAAAAACAAAAACACAACCAGAGAGTGTGAGAGCAAAAGAGAGCACATCAGCTGACTGACACACAGGCTCAGCTGAGGAGAGCAGAAGACAGAGACACGTAGAGCTCTTAGGGCCTCGAGAAACTGCCAAGTTCACAGACTAGTGAATCACAGACCACAGACATGGTTCAGCTCATACAGAATTTTTAAAAATTTTGACTTTGTTACTAATATTTATTATTAGGATATTTCACACTCAAAAAATACAGATTATCTATCTTCTCACCAGAAAGTAAGTCTGGTAACATTAGAACTACAGTCCAACAAGGTCACGTTTAGCTAGAGCTGAGCAGTGGCTACTCCCTGGAGGCATGACATCCGTTCCCACTGCTCTTCTTCCTCCCAGCACACAGGGAGAGTCAGGGCTGCTATCCACCATCACCTGCCCTCATGACACTTCAGCCCACTTTGCTCAATTAGGGGCCTACCTGTAGGTATTTGTATTTGTGCCCCGATCTAATCCATTTCCCTCTAATATACAGGAGATGGAAGCCCAGGGAAGGAAGACTTGCCTAAGGTCCTACGTGGAGTTGGCAGCAAAGAGGACACTAGAATCCAGGTCTTCTGATTCAACACTCAGGATTTTCACCCCGGCCCCAACAAGAAATGTTTCTAGGTAATTTTTCTAGCTAAGAATGTGTCTTTCAATGAAGAGATCTAAGAACCTGCCAGGAACCAGAACTGAACTGACCCAGAACTGAGAGGCAGCAGACTAATCTCTAAAGAACACTAAAGAAGACAGACCACTAGCCCAGAGCTAAGGGACCTGGCCTCAGTGCTGGTTCTGTAGCTAAGCTGGGGTTCCTGCCTGCTCCTGTTCATGGGGCCCTCCCCATCATGTACCATTTACTCTCCTATAAATCCTGGCAACTAAACCTGTCTGCCTCTTTTCTATCGAAACGATTAATAAAAAATATAAAACAAATTCGGTTGAGTGAGAGCCCCACAGCCATATTCCCTAAAGGCTCCACTTCAGACCTGCAGGTCAAGTGGGTGGACTAACAAACCGTAGACAATAGGAAATACTCATTACTCAGCCCTGCCAGCACCCAGTAAGAACGCATTATGTACCAGCGACTACAAGGAAGCCCCAAAGGAGAAAAGGCCACCCTGAGACATGAGTGCGAGAAGGCAGGGGAACTGCCACAGAAGATGAGAGCAACAGTCCCCGTCTGGAGGCCACGGGAACCAGAGCAGGCAGGAACATGAAGGCAACCATCCAGGTGAGTAGCTGGGATGCCATGGCAGGAGCAGGTGGACCCCTGGAATCTCCCAGGGCCCAGGCAGCAGTGATGGAGTGCTTGTCGCCAGGCAAGAGAGCTAAATGTGCCAGCAGAGCCGTTACAAGGGCCCCCCAGCCCCCACTCACTGAAAATAGTGCTGCATAATGCCAATTCCTGGCAGCCCTTCTGCACCTCCCCACAAACATGACTAAAAAGATGAGAAAGGTCCCAGTTAATCCCAAGTAACTGAGGAAGGTCAATAACCAAGAGACAAAACTGAACAAACAGAAGAATTTACACAAGAGAATCAGTTAATAGAACATTCAAAACCAAGCTTTTTTAAAATAAGTATAATTATATATACTTGAAAGTTGCTGAGAGCAAATCTTCAAAGTTTTCACCACACACACATATAAATGGTAACTATGTGAGGTCAGGGATGTGGTAACTAACCTTACTGTGGTAATCATTTAGCAATATGTATTTATATAAAGTATCAAGTGGTATACCTTAAATTTACACAATGTTATATGTCAATAATTGGTCAATAAAACTGGAAAAAAATTTAAAATATATTAAGTGTAATTAATATCCACAGAGAGATAAGGCAAAGTTATTGCATCCATAAAATATGATCAGACAATTATGAAATAAGAGCAGTTGGTTATTAAAAAATAGAAATCTTGAAAAGGAAAACTATTAAAAAAATTATAATTTTTTAAACAAACAAAAAACAACAGGAGGGCTGAATAGCAAAAGAGCTGAGAAACAAAGAAGAGAGACGACTGCTCCAAATTCTCCCAGCATGTAGAATAAAGAAACAGAAAAATATAAAAGTTCAGTCCCAGAGAACAAATTCAACATCTACCTAACTAGGAGTTCCAGGAAACGGACACAGAAAGAATAGAGAAAGAATATTTACCAAATGAATAGTTGAACATTAAGACAGAGAGAAACTCCTAAAATCTATCAGAGACCAAAAGCATTACCTACAAAGAACGAGACTCAACAAACACCCGACTTCTCAACAGAACCTTGGATGCAAGAAGTCAGCAGAGACCTCTCCCCAAGCATACTTGGATCCATTTACTGAACTGGCCTTTCGACTAGTTAGGATCCAGGCGTTAGAGTCCTTGTCCTCCCAATACCCCACCTCACAGATGTCAACTGACACTATTCCCTGACAGGACCCAGAGTGGCTGATTCAAACAGTTCAGCACATACCCTAGGTATACCAGAAGCATCAAAGGGATTTCAATTCCTAGCTGCTAAATATTACGGTCATATTTCTGGAGTAATCATGGGTTCTTTCAGGCAAGTGCTAGTCTCCAAATATAACATTGTGTAATGGGGCAAACACAGACATTCTGGTTGGGGGAAGAAAAATGGAATAAATTCCAAGGTTAATCTGTGACCAAGAATTTGGAAGCTGTTGTGTCCCCAAAGACCAGATTCAACATTTTAAAACACTGTAACTTAGTCTATCAATTTCAAGATGGCTGAGTTTATAGAGCTAGCCAGTCCATCACCCTCCACACCCACTAACCCTCTTTAAAGTCACAGCTATAAGAAGGAGTGAAGGGGGACATTCAGATAGAACAAACAGTTAGTGAGCATCTACTATGTCCACTTTACGGGGTAAGAACTGTACATATTTCCTATCGTTTAACCCTCACAATGGTCCTGTGAGGTAAGTGGCATTACCCTGTTATAAATCAGAAAACTGATGCTTTGAGAAAGAAAGCGACTTGCCCAGGGTCACACAGTTACTGACGTGGCACAGCCAAGATTCAAACCCTGGTCTGATTGTAAGTCCAGGGCTCTTTGTACCACACCTTGGATGCTTTTAGAAATTTGCCAAATACTGGGGTGCCCGGGTGGCTCGGTCGTTAAGCGTCTGCCAGGGTCCTGGGATCAAGTCCCACATCGGGCTCCCTGCTCGGTGGGAAACCTGCTTCTCCCTCTCCCACTCCCCCTGCTTATGTTCCCTCTCTTGCTCTCTCTCTCTAATAAATAAATAAAATCTTTAAAAAAAAAAAAAAAGGAAGAAATTTGCCAAATACTGGGGCGCCCGGGTGGCTCAGTCAGTTGATCGTCCAACTCTTGATTTCGGCTCAGGTTATGATCTTGGGGATGTGGGATCAAGCCCCACCATTTGGCTCCATGCTCAGTGGGGAGTCTGCCTGGGATTCTTTCTCTCTCCCTGTCCCTCCCCCTGCTCACACACTGTCTTTCTCAGTCTCTAAAATAAACAAATCTTGAAGGAAGGAAGGAAGGAAGGAAGAAAAAAAGAAAGAAATTTGCTAA